CCTTTTTAATAGAACTCTAAAATACCTTCAGAAATTTAAGGGTGTCCATTAGGCGATGATGTACCAGCAGTGAATGTACCAAATCAATCAAAATTATCAATAAAAATTTGAAGATTCTTTTTTCTTACTTTGCATTATGAACGTCCTACTGCTAAGACAGGAGGCCAAAAAACCTGATAGAAGTCAAGAGCATAAATCAGGCGCAGCCACTGGATCAAATTCAGGCCTTCAGCTAAGCATGACGATGTAAGCTGACTAGGAATGAGTTTGAGTCCAATCAGATTGGCGGGTCAGTGCGGAGTATAAACACTCTTAGATCTCAAGGGGACTAAGTAACTCTACTAAAGAATAGTAACTCTACTAAAGAACTGAGCTCTTTGAAAAGGGTCAAGCAAGGGCCAAGATTTTAAAGAGACTCGAAATGTTTTCTAAGTGTAAAAAGATTCCTGTTGAGGAGCCGACCTTTTTGAAAAGGGATAAGCAAAGGCCGAGATTTCAAAGAAACTCGAAATATTTTCTAAGTATAAAAAGATTCCTGTTGAAGAACCAAGCTCTTTGAAAAAATGGCCGATCAAAGGCCAAGACTTCAAAGAGACTTAAAATTTTTTCAAGTATAAAGAGGTTCTTGTTGAGGAACTGAGCTATTTGAATAAAAAGGGCCGAGCTTCAAAGAGATTTGAAACTTTTTCTAAAGTATAAGAAGGTTCCTGTTGAGGAACCAAACTCTTTGAAGAAAGGCCTATCAGGGCCATAGCTTCAAGTATGACTAAAATTCTATTAAATATGAAAATCAGTTTTTGCTCAAATGAAAAAGAGAGATGATAAATGTCGATTTTCATTTAGACCTCAAAAAGTACAAGATCTTATAACAAAAACATTAGAGATTGTAGGTACAAAAGTTGCAAAAATTTCAAAACATTCAAAAAGAGTCTTCTAAGTGTTGGAAGGAGCAGGAAGTTAAAAGGAGTTCGGAGTTATATGCCTGGAAAAGAGTTCTAAAGAAGGATCGACTTCAACAGCAATTAGAGCAGCTTGTCAGCCCTTGCTGAAGAATGCCTCTTTAAGCTTAGGAATTTGCAGATCACGATCAACCTCGACTTTCTCAACTCTCTTATTATAAGCAGCATCCACCTTCTCGTCAAACTTTGCATTGTACTGATCGAATTCTTCAAAAAGTGAGGCATAGTCGAGCTGGGATTGAGAAAGCTTAACATTGACTTCGTACTCGGACACCTTCAACTTTTCGTTTTCAAAAGAAAGCTTTTGTTTCTCATCAGACAGACTTTGATTTTGAGCCTGGAAGACCTTCAAGTCTTCACACAATTTGGCATATTCTTCATCTACGCTCTCTTTCTTGGCAAGGGCCGAAGCTCGGACATGGATTGCGTCTTTCATCGCTTTATTTTTACATGTCATCCGAGCTCTAACCTTGTAAACATTTTGAAGATCCTTGAAAGGCATGAAGATGGAAAAGACTTAGGAAATTTTTAACAAGAAGCTTAAAGAAATGAAAACTAAGGGAACAAGACTTACGAGGATGATATGTTGAATTGTTTAACGAGATACTTCATCGTCACTTAGCACCTTGTTCATTGCCAGGTCCCGAGGCAGGATTATCCCCCTCGCAATTCCAACTGCTACGTTGAAGTCCTCAATAACAGAGTTCTTTGCAGTTATCTATCTTTTTTTCGCCTTTAGCACAGGTCAGAATGGAAGGGTAGCTGATCTGGGGGAGATAGTCGTTTCATCCTCAACCAATTTTCATCTCTTCGGGTCTGGGCCTTTGGCAAGCTCGAAAATGGAATCATCTTCAAGTGGAAGAATCTGGACAGTAAGGGGATTCAGGTCAATCGAAATTAAAGTTTCATAGCTCGAAGCCACATTCGCATGGTCATTGCTCGGGATATCCGTATTAATTTGGGGAACATCCTCGGCAAAAACCTCGGTGGCAGAATCCTATTTGATGATAATTGGGGGCACATAAGTTGTTACCATTTGTTTAGAAGGAAGGGTCGACTCGACTGTTGATAGAAAATCTAAAAAATTCTTTATCGTTTTATGACCAGATACAACCATAGCAGTTCTCTTTTTTCCTCGGGTTTTTTTTTTCCCTAGCTGCCTGGATGGCCTCTCGATCTTCCGCAAGAGTTGCATTGGGTCGGTTCGGCACAACAATGAAAGAAGAGTAGGATGGACTGTATCCGAGCAGAGTATGAGCAGCTCGGCAGAACAATTACTCATTGAAGTCCCAAACCTTCTGAAGTTGATCCAACTTGACAGAAGACTCAGTAATTTTACCTTTGACAGTTTCACTTGTGCAGAAGAAAATCCTTAGAAAAACATAAAACAAAAGCAAGTTAAAACAAGAGATAAAGGGATATCAAATACTTGACATTCCCTCTTTATAGGGACAACGATATGAAGGAACAGCACCGACAACATACTTCCAATTCCCATAAAACAAACACTATGTCGTTCTCATGGCCTTTGTTGAAATTTTGGAGGTGGGTGACTAAGTAGCGATTCTTTTTCCTCACAGATAGATAGAAACTATCACCTGCTGCTTTGATAATGTAGCAGTATAGGATCTCCCACAGCCCAAGACTTAAGTTCAGAATCTAGTTCAAAGAAGCCACCCCCATGACAATCCTAAAGAAGTTCAGACAGCACTGGAGGGGGCAGAGCTTCGCAGTAGAAAACACCCAGATCAAAAGGAGATCAAGAGGGAACTGCACGCTTCCCTCGGTGATAGCTCGAGTAGGGATGGGGATTGATTCCTTCTTACTATTAAGGGTTCGTCTTTCCTAGCGACCCTTACTTCTACGTCATCAGGAATATTATATTTGATTTTGAAGGCAAGAACCTCTGAAGAAGTAAGAGGAGCCATTGAAGAAAAGATGATGCAAACTTGAGGAAGACGAAATGCAGAAGAGAGAATAAGAGTATGAAAGTAGAAAGCGAAGTGAATAAAATGCGAAGATAGAGATAGTTTATGAAGAGGAAGGAATTTCAAAAGGCAATATTTAAATGCCCTGGATGTGCCGCCAAAACAAAAAAAACAGGTTACAAAGTACAAGTGATGATGAATCGATAAGAAAACGATTGACAGCCAAAAAACGTGTGTCAGACTTTTTCTGTGGACAAATGAAGGGGTTAGACCTCATGATTACGTATGACACAACATTAAATGTGCTCACCTGATGTTGATAAGACCAGCTATGTAATGAATGATCGTCTATTGAGAGCTTTCCAACCGAGCCAAGCTAATGAAAGGTTCGGCAATATATTGGTTCTCTTTATGACCGAACTCATCAGTCTGTTCGGTTAAACAATGAAAGAGCTCGACTTGTACCAAGTCGAGTCCGGTAAAGTATTTAGCATGACAATTGAGGAAATAGGTTTGTGCCAAACCGAGTTCCTTAATCTGTTCGGCTCAAATCAAGTATGCTCGTCATTTGATATGTCCGAGTTGTTTTAGACAAACAAAAGGAAAAAGATACGTCTATAACTTAGGTAATCAAATAAACGAATCAACAAAATTGTAGATATCAGGAGGAATTATTAGAGAAATATTAGCAACTTTCCAAACTAAATGACTAAATTGAAGGAAGGTGTGCCACCTTGAACTTAAAATCGTGGAAACCTTAAGGGGATAATGATATATAAAAAGCAGAAGAGACGAAGGTGAAAGGTACAATGGATTCTCCTAAACTTAGCACAATTCTTTCTGTTCCATTATTGACTTAAGTATCGGAGTGCCTTTGATCGAAGCACTTCGATCCTGGACAGTTTATTCGTTTTGCAGGAAAGAGTTGAGGAGATTGTTCAGACTTCATTTCTAGAAATCGTATCACACATTCAGAGAGGTATAATTTTTTGCCTCTACATATATATATATATATTTAAAAAAAATTTAAAAATTTAAATTAAAAATTTTATATTTTTTTCATCTTAATTAAATGTGAAAATTTTTGACTTGACTCAACGCAATGATACGACTCGAACTCGATACGAAAATAAATAGGTTAACTCGCAACTCGACACGACACAATTAGTTAAATGAGTTAAGTTAGGTTTGACTAATGTTCGACACAAATCCGTAATGACTCAACATGAATCTGACACGATACGACTCGATTGTCACCCCTAATCTTAGCCAGCACAAAAAAAAAATAATTATTTATATTTTTTATCTATCTAACCAAACATAAAGGAAAGACAGTGTATCCTTCCTACTTTCCATCCTTGAAGGATTGAAAATGTATTCTTCCTACTTTCCATCCTCATACCAAACGGAGCATAAAGGTTTTGAACAATTATAACTTAACTTTTAAAAATTGTAACTTAATCTTAAAAGTTGTAACTCTTGGTATCGATCACAACCTTCCATGATCAATCATATTTTTATTACAAGTTATAACTTATAGTTTAAAAAAATTATAACTTATTCTTAAAAAATTATAATTTTTGGAATAATATCACTGGGACTATAACCTTTCGCATACAAAAAATAGATGAATCAAATTAAAATTAAATATGAATAATATAATTAATTAGTATTGACACGTGTAAACCCTAGTTTTTTCTACCTTATATATAGGCTTTTTGTTTTTTAGGCGAACGGACCCTATATATAGTTAGTTGAAAGTACAAGACTCTCGTCAGTTTGGTTCAGTTGGAGAATCACATTTCGACTCCAAAGCCAGAGAAAGATCAAGAAAGACAGGGAAGCTGAAAGAGCAAGAAAGCCATTGACATAGAAATCTAGGGAAGAGGGAAGCATAATGAGGAGGGCGTTATCTCTACCCCTCTTGTAAGTTCTGTTTCCTTTTTTCTTTTTAGTGGTCTCTAATGTGTGTCTTGCTTTCGCCGCACCTATGAATTTTCCTTCAGTTTCCTCCGTTTTCTTGCCAACCAAACGGTACTATTATTTATGTCCTTGCAGGAAATACCAGAAAGAAAGTCAACGTGAAGAAGAAAGAGAAGTGAAAAACGAAGAAATGAAAGGTGAAGAAAAGAAAGGAGAGGCTGAAGACGATATAGATTACATCGACGAGCAAGTTACGTGCATGACCCTCTCTAAACGAGAACCAGTCAAAAGAGGTAGATCAAATTCCCACAATTTGTTTTTTATTTCTATCGTTCCTGCTTTGTATATGCACACACATCTATATGGAAAGAGAAGTAAAGAATGATATTTTCTTTTCCCGGAAAATTGTGGAAAATACAACTTTCTTGGTTGGCAAACATGAACATGACCGTTTCTTGACCTGGAAAGTGCAAGAAATTCCTTTTTTTTTCTGGGTTTGTGAAGATATTCTGTTGTATATATGGACGAGAATTTGTTCACTTTTCCATTTTCTTGGAAACCCATGAAGATCATCTCATGTAATTTCGAGCCGGCAACTAAGAACACGGACAAATTCGTACTTTAGCTTGATCCGAACCAGTTTTAAGGGTGTCCGTCAATGTTATACATTAACCCGACACAATACAAACTTAAAAATGACAATTAATTACATGTTATTGTATTAAGGAAACTATATGATACTTTTTTCTATCTTTTGATCAATTAGCATGAACATACGTAATGTATAAACCAGGTAACCAATCAATTTATGTATCAGGTGGAGAGCACTCGGGGGAGAAGTATGGACTGTGGAGGCGGGAACAAAAGACCAGGGCAGCAAGGCTAGAGAAACAGCTCAGGGTCCTTGAGGGGCAAATTGATGAGCAACTGAACCGCTTTCAAGCCCATTACAATCGGGCCATGGTTCGTATTAAGCTCAAGGATGTGGCCCAACTTCTCATGCCCAAGGGAGCTCCAGCTCATGAACTGGCCATCCTATCCTGGCTCGGCGATTGGCGGCCCTCCGCCATTTTGGTACTCCTCCGCTCATTGGCCTGTTCCTCGTCCTCGTTTTCATCATCTTCATCTGACTCTGTCAGCTCTGAACGGGTTCTATCGCAGCTTATCCATGATTTACGTATCGAGGAGGCTGTGATTGATGAAGAAATGGCTGAGATCCAAGCCACTTGCATTCTCCATCTTCCTTTCGGCCCTGTGAATAGCCAAACTGGTGGGCCTGCGCTGTCATGGATCCAATCTGAGTTTAAAAAGATCCACGGGGTCATCATTAAGGCCCAAAACCTCAGGTCCACTTTTGACCCAATATTCTATAACTGTCAATATAACTATATTAACCACTAAATATGTGACAGTTATTGACAGTTAAGTATTGTATGTATTTTTGTGTGTGTGTGTGTGTGTGTGTGTATACCACAGGTTCAAGGCATTAGAGTTGGTGGTGAAGAAGGTGCTAAGCCAAACTGATGCTGCAGAATTCTTAGTTGCGTTTGCAGGAATCCAAGACTTGATCCACCAGTTTTCCACCCACCATAAGTTGCAAAAGGGTCCGGTTTCCATGCCCAGAAAGGCCTTGGGATATACTTGAGAAGAAGGCAGAAGTGGTCGCGATGCGTGCCCTGAGAAATCACTCCGACAATCAGAATCAATGCAGGGTAGCAGGGCCATTGGTTTCTGTTCAGCAATAAAAAAAAAAGCAGAGAAGTTTCAAAAAAACCAATAGCCTTAGTTACAAGTTTTCAAAAATAGGCCGTCAGATACATGAAAGCAGAAACTCGTAAAGTAATGATTGCACATTGATGTCAATTCAGGAGCCAAGCCATAGGCTTCTGGACTTGTCTCGGACTTTGTCTTTATTTCTACAGGATCTCCTGGTCTCACTTAGTATTTAGTATGGATTTTGATTTCGCACAGCGGTTATAGTACTGTAGCAAATTAGCAAATAGATTAATCATATGACAACTATAAAACAAATCAGAACTGATCTAATACAGTGACCTGAAAGGCCCTGTGCAATATTTTTCTCTTGCCATATATATCAAATATTAGACACCTAGAGAGAGCTAAATCTTTTCCAAATGTATCCACTAAAAACAAACGGATTTCGATCATCTCAATTTTAAATTTTGTCGGTTTTCATAAATTCAAATTAATAATAGTTAAATCTATTGTATCCCACCTAGAGTTGATAAAATCTACACAAATCTACAAGTGGGACCTTATAAATTTAACGGTAGTTAATTGAACTTAACCCACATTGATGGGATTAGAATCCTAAAGAAATTTGCTTAGATAATGAAAGATTAACCACCCTATGAGATGTTCCTAACCACCTTAACCCTGTCTAATTAAATCACATCTAGTTCCCAAAGTAGGAGTCTAGCATTAGAGATAATTAATCACGTCAATTATCCAATGTCATCATTGAGGAAATATGCCAAACATTTTGTGGGTCCTTCGTTCACGAGCCTTTTCACGTGATCCTACTTGCTTGGAGCATGTACTCAGCCCACTTTGACACAAAAATTTCGTATGGGAATAGCTTCTAATTTGCCCAACTTCCAAATCCTCCTCTTGCACAGCAATACTCTTTGGCTAAAGTGGGTCGGCATGTGATAAGTTTTAGAGCTTATGTTTTAAACATAATCGAAATAATGAATCGCCAATGATATTGACATTTGACACATTGAGATCGTGAAATATTCGGGAGTTCCTTTATTGAATCTTTTTCCTTTTTCTTGTTGCTGGATATCTATTTTGTAAACATCTTCTCTTTATTTTTCGCACCTTCAATGAGTTACAGACAAAAACATAAAAGGTCGAATATTTAATGATTTCATCATTTATGAGTAACTTGCGCAATCTTTTGGATATGTATTCCACATCTTGACCGAATTTTTTTTGATTAAAAAATTTATTTCTAGTTACTCTAAAATAATTAGGAGATTCTTTAGAATAAATAAGGGGTTTTATTTCTGGCAACCGCATGTTATTGGGTAATAGTTCCGCTTATGAGGTCAAATCAAAGAAGGAGTATTTGAATATAAATTCATCGATCACATAAGTACCATACCAAATTCCCTTTCAAGTCATTTTTTTCGAGAAATATAAAATATCTAAGTCATACAAATAAAGAAATCTATTCATTGATCTCAAGCCTGAATAAAAAAAAATATTGGTTATGTTTAGTAATTGACGACCAACATAAAACTTTATCAGATCCAATATATTTATCATATAGTCTCTAAAATTTAAAAAATGGAAAACTAATTCGAACAATTTCTTGAGCATGTAATTTAGCACGAGTTTAACAGCTTAAATTATTGCATGTGTATTGTGCACAGTGCATAAATGGCAGCTAATATCAACCATCAATTGCCCTTACACTTGATTTTTATGACAAGGAATTAAGCATGCAATAAAAAGTTAAACATGTTCATTGTGCAAAATAAGCGGGCCTAATGGCCATCGCCCCTATAGTTGAACTTTAAAGTTGTAAGTTCGAATTTCATCATCTTTTATTTTTTTTTAATAATATCTGCCAAAAAAAAAAAAAGCCTCCAACCTAGCAGATCTTAACTCAATTTTTTTACCTCGTAATTAGGATTGGAATAATTATAGAGTTGAGAGTAAATAATTATGGCGGTTTATGGCTCATACTATCATCACATAACATTTGAACGCATTGATAACTATTGAAAAGCTCTAGATTTTTTTGGTTTTAATGGGGCTCTTACCTTTTTAGAGCATCTCCAGCAGTTATTTTAAAACTTTAAAATAACTAACATTTAGTTAATCAAAAACAAAAATCATGCTTCAGTAAAATATGTTTCGATACTATAAAATAGGTTTTTTGCTACTGTGAGTGTCACTGTATTAACTTGTATAAATAGTTTATAATTTTTTCTCCCACCTCTCCTGTCTACTCTTGATCTTTTCCTTTATTTTTTCTCTCTCTCTCTCCAAGACTCTGAACAAAAAGTGTAAAAAAAAAAAGAAATAATTTATATCTATACTACTATAAAATACCAATAAAAATGAAAAACTTGTGTCTGAGACATGGGTTTTCTGATTTGAATTGGGCATTGTGCCAATCTTGTTATTATTTTATTTCCCCGTGGGTTGCAGCAAAAGTCTTCATGGAAATAAGTGTTCTTAAGTAGTGATGACTTAATTGCATTGTATACTTAAGGTAAATTTTCATTTTTTGTAAATTTCTTGATGAAAAAAATTGTACTTAAAATTTCTATATTACCAAAAATCATGCTCAACCAACAAACTACCCCTAAGACTCACCATTTTTTAAAAATAACAGCCACAATTAACTGAGGCATTGCGCCAATCTTCTTATTATTTTATTTTTCCATGGGTTGATGCAAAAGTCTTGATGGAAATAAGTGTTACTAACTAGGGATGACTCAATTGCAGTGTACAAAAAAAATACATAAACATATCTACAAAAAAAAAATAAATAACAAACACACAACCAGCTTCAAAGTACACATGAGTGAGGGCATTTTCTAATCTTTATACTATTATTACATAATATTTAATTCTTCAAATAATTCACGTGCAACAAACGTGTACACCAGTTAGTATTTAAAAAAAATTAGAGTGTATATTAAAAAATTAAATAGCTATAATAAAAAATATTATTTTTTTATAATTAAACTAATTTTTATTGTCAAAGATGCTAGTAAAGAGACATAATCACTTTACAAAGATATATCTTCCGGAAGGTCATGATCAAGTGAAGATTTGTTGTGCGATTTAGAGATCTTGTTGACGATCAAGAAAAAAAAAAAAAGTAGTCTATATATCCTTAAAAAAGAAAACGTGGGTAAAGTCTTTTAATCTAATGAATCTTTGAGTAGCCCGATTTGTTATAGCCTATAGGTAGGATTAGACAAGTTTTTGGACTTGAAAGTCAATAATTATTTATAGGTCCACCCCGAAATCATACGGTTTGCAAGAAAGAAAGATCATACATCATTATCACACCATCATTTTTAATATCTTTGGTAGATCTTTTTTTTCAAAGGCACTTACTTTGTTGGTGGCGTAGATTTGAGGTTGTAAAACACAGGATAATGATCAACATGAGGATAGCAAAGGAGGCATTTTACCTATATTAATTATCATACTCAAATGTATAGAGTTTCAAGATTAAATTATAATTTTTTAATGGGTGGATTATAATTTCAAGAATTACGGTCGGTCATAAAAAATAATTATTTTTAAAAATAAATTATAACTTATTGAAATTATTCACGATCGATCAGAATAAAATATTTTTAATGCAACAATACACTTTTTTTTTTATCTAATATTATGGTCTTTTCCGAACAATTGGGACTACCTGATGCGTCAGAACAAGAAACACTATGATTCTTTTAACTTAGAAAATTAATATAATTGAGGGTAGTTTAGAAAATTAAAAAAAAATCTTGCAACTTGCATTTCTTTCCAACAATAGAATGAAATTTTTTTAAAAATTTTCCAGCAAGTTTTTCATCCTAACCAAATATATACAATAAAATATATTTTTTTATCATTTTTATTTCTTTCATTTCATTTTCTATTATCTTCACTTTTCATCAATCTTTTCTTTTTAACCAAACAGACCCATAGAGAATAAAAAAAATATTCTAAAATATGATATTTTTGAACGAATAATCTGTACTACAAACGAGTAATATAAATAGGAACAATCAATATTTTAATAGTTCTCATAACTAAAAAAGAAATTCCTAACTTTACAAAAAATAGACATATGTGATTTTCTTAATTAGCATAAAAATACGTGTTATTTGAAATCTAACAAGATTTACGGCGTTAAATTTAAAATCTTTTATGATTTATTATTTGAGTAATTGTTAGATGGACTTAAAAATTAAGCTTGATAATTTCAACCATTGAATAAGTAGTGGGTCTCAATAAATGTTGAGACCCACTATGAAATCAATGGTTATAATTATTAAGTCTAATTTTTAAATTTATTTTTTTTAAGTTTATGTAGCATTACTCTTATTATTAATATTTAAAACTTTTATTAAAATGACAAAAATAGAGTTTCAAGAATCTAAACGATAGAATTCGATCTAAAATTTAGAGAACTCGTGGCGAAATAATCTAGATCAAATATTATCGGTCCCACTGAATTTCGAGTTTAATCTATTATTATTTTTTAATATTTGATTGTACCTTAAAAACAGAACAATCAACATAATTCCAATAGGCTACAGCAGCATGTTCTAAGTCACTGTCTAACATGAAAAGGTCACAAAATAGGGAGACCACAAAAGATATGGGGATGTAAACAGAGGAGGTGGAGAGGATACGGGGGAGAGTGTAGTGGAGTGGAATGGAGTGGAGGGGACCCACGAGCAACTTAATTATCAGGTGATCATGCGTGACAGTACACCAGGCGTGCACATAAACAGTAATCTCTGTATGTTTACTTTCTGGGCCCTTCAATCATAAGCCTTTTAAGAAAAATAAAAAATAAAATAAAAGAAAGCCTGCTTGGTTACGTATAGACTAGAGTTGTAGACTCCCTGCTTTGCTGATTGCAGTAACGTAACGCAC